AGGTTTAAAAAGTAAAATTATGAACGTACCCACATTGAAAATTATTTTCTTTTTAATCTAGGTACTCATAATTTTAACCATTTTGTTTTGTAATATTAATTAAATAAAGTATTTAATACAGAAATATCTACTAACGTTATTAGGTCTAAGCATGTAATTTAATAACGGGTAAAATATAGAATGTCGGTATTGTTCAGTTAGCTTGCACAGTCTTTATTTACTTACCCCCTTAGTAATAACAAGTGTGTAACTTTATATTAGAGGGTAAGAATATAATGATTGTGCTTGCGCGAGCTTTATTTTAATACTAGGGTAGGCCTCCAAAAATATTTTTTTTCGACTGAATTCCTTAAAATATCCCCAAGGAAACCCAATGCTATTTAATGTGACGGTGGATATGATATCTCTAGGGTCTTCACATGCAAATCCTGAGAAAGGGTTCCGCACCAAACTATGTTAATTTCATGGACACTAGCTACTTAAGATAGTTTCTTAGATATTTGAATAAACAAATTGTTCACGAGCTTAAACTACACAGAGTTTGTACCATTCAAAATCACATCTGACTACTCAACTATTAGGTACAATGAGGTATAGCCTGACCAGGAACATAAAAACCCTGGCATAGAGGCGCGTCAATTGCATTTGATAGTGCAACACTGAGTACAGTCGTACCTGTGTTAAATTAATAGGCTAACTTTATGTATCAGGATTCAGGATTACGGGCTAATTTGATATTTTCATAAATTAAAGAAAAAATATTATTATAGGTAACCTGATTTAAATAAATTAAATGAAACATCAATCGAGCTAGTAGATTAATTTATTTTATTATTCATCAATAATCAAATTCAGAACTTGAATATTCAACTGCAATGTCTGCTCATGTACGCTTCAAACTCGGTACTTCTTTCCAATCCCATAAAATTCAACACTTAGAAAGTGACAAAATTTTTAAAATAGGTAGTTGAAACAAACCACAGCTAATTTTCATAGTGGACTGTACTATACGATAAACATGTCAGTCAATTTGACAACCTTTGTCGGAAACATTATTCAATGAAAATATTGTCCGAACCCTTAGTATTTCTCTTCGACAAATACTTTAACACATTGTGAACCACTTTTCTTTCACGACTATAAAAATATTTTAGCAATTTAATTCATAAAACCAATTGCGCACATTTAAAATAAAGTTTGTTTACACTTTGACAGCAATAGACTGACATGCAAGGTGACATGTCAATGAAGTTTTCAGTTACTGTTGCCATTAAAAGAAATTAGTACCATTAGTTTTCCGCAACATGGCGAGGGTTTTTATGTTCCTGGTCAGGCTATACATGTCTTTTTGCAATATAGTTAGTACCTATTGCCACTTCAGCTTGTTCAAAAATTCGTCGGGCTATGTCAGCGACTTTAGTTCGTTTACGGATCTCCTCATTTCTGATTAGATCTCGTAAAGAAACACCGAGCATACCTAGTCCATGGCGCTAGACGCAGGCCGCTATCCACCGGGCAGCATGGAAAGCATTGGGGGAGGCCTATGTTCAGCAGTGGACGTCCTATGGCTGAAATGATGATGATGATGAGTACCTTTTGAAAAACGACATAAGCTGCCAGTGTTTAGGTTGATGTGACGTCGTCCGTAATATTGAAGTTATTAGGATTTCTAATGAAACGAAATGAATAAAAACTGACGAGAAATGACTACCTTAGTCAACTCGGCCAGTTTACCCTATGCTTCCATAGCTCAGCAGTCAAAGCAGTTGCCCGGAAACTGATAGTTCCCGGGTTCAATTCCCACCAGAGGCTTCTAATAATCAAATTATAAAATTAACTAGCGGCCGCCCGCGACTTCATACGCGTGGATCCCGTTTTACCCCCTTCATCTATCTTACGCGGTTCAGATTTTTTGCTCCCCTTCCCGTTCCCGTGGGAATTTTGCAATATCCTGTTGTAACTAAGCTTTAAGTGTACTAACGTACCTGCTTGCCAAATTTCAAGCGTCTAACTAAAGCGGTTTAGATTTTTTCATACAAATGTTTTTACCCGCTAACTCCCGGTCCCGTGGGAATTTTGGGAATTCCTTTCTTAGTGCACCTCTATAGTACCTAAGCTACGTCCCTTCCAAATTTCAAGTGCCTACGTTTAGTCGTTTAAGCTGTGCGTTGATATGTCAGTCAGTCAGTTTCTCCTTTTAACCAAACAGTATATTTGAACTGATTTAAATAAAAGATTCTTAAGAACATAGCATCTACCTACAAATAAGTTGTTTCCATCATCCCACCAACCCATAGGCTTGTGATCTGTGTCTCTCGACCCTTGAGGGTCCACTTAAAGGCGATTAAACAAATCCGTACCGTAAATGATACAAAGGGTAAGGACTGAATGGTTTATATTGGTTTGAATTGTTTATGCCAGTTTGTATACCTACCCACCATTCACATTGCTTGGGAAATAGAAATATATTTTATCCTTTGGTTCTTATCCACTATTAATTTGTTTCTTTCAATAAAAATAAGTCTATTAAGTTTTTTTTTTGTTTTATTTGAGGGTATGTTCAGTAGTTATGTAGGTACTTTTCTTAACGAAAATCAAAAGTAGGTAAGTAGGTATCTATGCAAAAATGATTAAAACATAATACATTTATTACAATTAAATATTTATTTCGTTTGTTTTATTTACACAACATTTAAAATAAATAAGTACATTCTGTACTTACTTCACATTCACTAAAGTGATTTTATTTGTTACAAAAATATATTTCAGGCACTATTTACACGAATACCGTGAATTACGCTTTTTCATACAATACCTATAATGAGATATACCTCATAGGTTATGTCTTATTTCTATGCTAAGTAAAAATACATTGATTATAGTAACTATTTAGTAATTTATCACTTTTCGACGAGTTTCGCATTGACCAGTGACTAAAACTATATTAACATGCCTACTTTTATTGTATTTTCATATTCACTCAAAATGAGAATCATCATCTATCAAAATCTTATAAATTATAATTCACATATTAAGCCCGTTTTCACCATGAATCCCTAAATTTTAAGTGACTCGTATGAAAACCAAATTCATAATATTGTTACCTTAGGGGTCACTTAAAAACAGGGATTGATGGTGAAAACGGTCATTAATCTCTCTTGACTCGATCACACTTTTAAGTGCTAAAGTGCCAAAACAATTCCTTAAAATCGAAGACTAGCTTAGATCTGGATTAAAACTACTTTTAACGCAGAATTAAGCTAAATATCAGCTCGAGATTACAAAAAGAACTATAGTATAAAAATATTCGAAATTATCTAAAGCCTGGTCCGTGAGCACGTAAAATTTTATCCAATGACCCCAAGCTACCCATCCTTATCGCTCGCGCGTAATTATGTTGCTGTCGCGCTCGCACACTCACTGCGGGCGCGCGTCGCACAGTCGCGACAGCAATATAATTACGCGCGAGCGATAAGGATGGGTAGCTTGGGGTCATTGGACAAAATTCTACGTGCTCACGGACCAGACTATAATACTGGCAAACATCACGATATAATAATATAGGGTGTAAATGTTTATAACATTTTAGTCACTTATAAAAACAATATCGAATATAAAAATTGAGACACACTTTAATATCTAAAACTCGATTCTAAATAGCTAACTGTGATTCGTTGAACATGTAGATTCAATAAATATAAGTACACTTACATAGCAAATCACAGGCTTGAATATATTATTGAGAAATTGTTTGTGTAACATATTAATTAATGTTAATTATAAAAAATCATTTGATTCAACTCGCATCACAATCGCTTTAAATTCTCAGTCAACAACAAATCAAACTATTTTAATAATTCTTAATTCTACATCTTTACACTTTTTTTAATACAAATTAAAGAGATATCTATGAAACACCTATCCAGGGTGAAGACAACAAACATCAAAACTATACTAATTATAGGAAAGTTAATATGAAACCATAGGTAACATATTATTTTTTCACATAAAAATTTATTCAAATGCATAAAAACGTAAAATCAAATATAATTTTTAGAAAATTTAAGACACCCTGTATTATCAAGCAGCATTATCGTTATGAAAAATATTGTTTCAAGACTTAAAATTCACTTACGTTTTGACGTAATTTTATTTCATTACAAGATTTGTACAAAGATTAACATTTTTATTATTTAAAAAAAAAGTATTTAAAGACTATTATCACAAGGCTACTTATAATAATATTTTACTCATTTTCACACTTATTTCTAAAGTATTTTCAAAATAGACCAAAATTAATCTGAATTTAAAAATAACATGAAAAATTTTTTTCTTTCACAATAACTAAGGCTGAGTTGCACCACCTAACTTTGACCGTAACTATAACGATAACCGGTGTTTTTTGTATGGAGTTTGACAGATTTTTGACTTTTGTCAAAGTTAAACTAAGATGGTGCAACCCAGCCTTAATGTTTTTTCGTTATTGCTACATATTTATAATTTACTAAACTCCTTATATACCTACTTTAATACCTAGGTACTTGTCTTTTAAGCTTTACATTCTTGTCATCATTCAAAAACCTATAAAATATTAATATTTAAAATTAATGAAGAGGCAAGTGCCTGTTGATATTAACAGGCACTAATCAACTGTCATATTTTTATGATCTGTCAAAATTATATTGACATAATAACTACTATTTTGTGACGTCATTACTGGTATTTAATAATTTATAACTTTTTTGAAATAAATCATTATGTTTTTGCTAAAATCATTTTGCACGGATAAATACTAATATCCATTCTAAATTACTAACTTACAAAATTGCTATAAAATCTTTAACTTCCAGAGTAATTTCAAACTAACTTTTTCATTATTTTGAGCAAAGTTTTAGAATTTTTTATGTTTACATCACATTGAAAATAATTTACAAAACATACATAGAAGCCTTTTTTAACCGACTTCAGAAAAGGAGGAGGTTATAATTACCTATGTTCGGCTGTATGTATGTTTTTTTTGTAATACCAAGATTATGGCATATTTTAATAAATTCCTTTTAAGGAATAAGTTAAGTTATAAGTTTTAACGTTACCCAAGTGGACGTCACATTTCATACTAACTATTCAACAGTAAAACTAACTACAATCTTGTCCTTTCTGGAAACGGCGACGGCGACCGCCTCGTCTCATACACATCGAAAAGTCTACTTGCATTAGTCGAAAACACCGTCGGCTTCACTTCTTCAGCTATCGTCTCATCGGTTTTCTCAGACGTTTCTTTCTCTTCTGGAATCTTCTCTACTTTTTCACTAGTATTAGTAAATTTCCTGGAAAGAGAAGAAAAATAATTATTTTGGTTCCAACTTAAAAAAAATAACACACAGTGTAAGTTAAAGGTGGTTAGAACCAAAAATGGCCACCGCTCAGCATGTGTCATGCTCTGAAGTAGTAAAACCAGTAAAACCCAGAACATGACGCTGTTATTCTGCGGATGCCATTTTTGGAGATACCGGCAGGAATACACGACTAGAATTAACAAAAATTTTATAAAAAAAAATAAAACCGATTCCAAAAAACCTACACTAAAACGTAGAAAAATAATTACTAATTACCTACTTATTTATTAGGACGAATGATTAATATTTATGTAGGTATACCATGATTGATACTTTTGGAGTCGGTGCAGGCAAACTTTACATGTTTCATAATCTTGGCACCGACTCCAGAAGTATCAATCATGGTATACCTACATAAATATTAATAATTCGTCCTAATAAATAAGTAGGTAATTAGTAATTATTTTTCTACGTTTTAGTGTAGGTTTTTTGGAGTCGGTTTTATTTTTTTTTATAAAATTTTACTTATTTCTTGCTTTTTAGTTAACTAATTATTACCTTGATGTTACCACTGAAGGTAGGCAGTACACTGAGACCAAAAAAAATTGGTATCATACATAATCGGCGGAGATATTGCGTATAAAAAAGTTCATCCCCAATTTTCCACCCTTGGGGGTGAAATATTTTCTTCAAATTCGCATGAAACCACCCTTTTCATAATGCCTATTCAACAAAAAAATAATCGTTCAAATTGGTTTATAATTGGTGGAGATATTGCGTATAAAAAAGTTCATCCCCAATTTTCCACCCTTGGGGGTTGTTTTTTTTATTATTAAATTTAAATGGGACCACCCTTGAGGTATTACCTATACGCCGAAAAAAGATTTGTTCAAATCGGTTCATAATTGGCGGAGTTATCGCGTAACAAACATAGAAAAAAAAAAAAAAAACATACGGGTCGAATTGAGAACCTCCTCCTTTTTTGAAGTCGGTTGAAAATACAAACAAACGAGAAAACAAAATAAAAATCCTACTTCCTACTAATATTATAAATGCAAAAGTTTGGATGTCTGGATGTTTGTTACTCTTTTACGCAAAAACTACTGAATGGATTTACAGTATTATTGTTTATAACCCAGATATAGGCTATAATTTATGACGATCTGTGACAAACTAAATTTCACGCGGGTGAAGCCGCGGGCAAAAGCTAGTAAAATAATAAAAGAAAAATAATAACTATTAATGCCCAACATTAACCGTCCCAGCTAGCGATGAAAGACCTCGAGTCTTTTTAAATTGATTCAGTCTAAAAATAAAACTCAAGTCATAGTCGAAGACTCTAAAAGGCTCAGGACTCAAGACTTAAAGACTCGATTGAGTTTTGAAGCGTCATAAGTCGTCGTAATGAGTCGAGTTTGTCTTAAAATACTTAAAATACTCTAGTTCTTTCATCACACCCAGCCATGACAAAAAAAAATCAAAAAATTCCGTTTAGACCACAAGTGGAAATTTATGAACGTCAAAATATAGTAAATAATAAAAAAAGAAAAGGTGACCCTTATGGGGCACTTTACATGTCTCCTTATCTTTTGGGTCCTACCAGCGCTTCGAGACAAACATATGACAAGTGCTGAGAAGAAACGCCGGAACAAACTCAGTCACCACTAATTGCCAGGAATGGGGATGTTGCCTGGGTCAAAAAGCAAGAGTTTTAATTAGTCCGTCAGTTAACTTATCAAAAAATACTCTACACGTATTTTCCACTTTTTCAAACTAATGAAAATTTAAAGAGATAAAGCGCCCCAAAGTTCATAAGAAGAGGCCCGTGACGTCAACGCTTACTTAAAAATGCCGCACGTTGTGACGTCGTGCGCAACTTCAACGCACCATAACTATGTAATAATTTGTTAGATTGACAAATAAAAATATACGTGTCCAATATTTTTTGATATTAAACATTACGGACTAAAAAAATTTTTTTAGGCAACTAGCCTATTCTACGTGCTCATGGACCGGGCTTTAGCCCCAGCCATGACACTGTCAGGAGGGCGCCAACATCACTACCTTATTACCTGGGTTTCCCTGGAAACTTCCTGGCTAGTCTGGCAACCATAGGGTGGAGGAGTCGCTCGTCGTACGCGTCATCATCGCTGGCGGTGATGACGCCGATAATGACGCCGATGACGACACACGTGACGGTGCCGATGACGGCGTACCACATGTAGGAGACAGAGTACATGGCGTGGAGGCTGCTGTTGCTGGAAATGATAAGGTTGGTGTTGAGATTGCCGTGTGGTGACGGCAGAGTAGAATACATTTGTCACCAACCCCTACTCTTCCCGCGGGTGTCGTAAGAGGCGACTTAGGGACTACACATCAAACAGAGAACAGGCAGCAGCGCTCTCTGACAAACATCAATCTTTAATACTGCGATCTCCAACCCTCCTGCCAAGCGTGGAGATTATGGTAAAACCCTCCACTATAGTGGAGGAGGCTCATAGTCCAGCAGTGGACTGTAAAGGGCTGATGATGATGATGATGATGATGTTGAGATTGTAGATGTAACGGAGGTAAAGGATTTTGGAGATAAATCACGTCTTGGAATGGAAGTCTGCACTTCCGCATATTATCGCAGAATTTGGTACCTAGTGCGCTGTTTAAGAATCTTTAAAAATAGGGAAAAAGGCAGGCCCAGTAGACCAACGATTTTTAAAAGGTCGCGGGAATCGTCTGGACGCGGGTAGGACCGGTCGTTGTGGGGAACCTTGGTTCAGCATTGAGGCTCGTCTTTTCAGCCAAATGACGTCCCCAAGGTTTTCCATATGAACGGTCCATTTGATTACAATTAATAGATCCCAGGCTACCCGCATTCAGGTGCTTCCCGTGATCTTCACTAGATCGTCGGTCTATGGACTGGCCTGCCCACACTGTGTCTTTAAGTCCAGAGTCTATTTCTACAAATTAACTCACATCAAAGAGTCAGGCTTCGCGTGCGGCCGGCTAAAAATAACCTAATGATGATGATAATGCTGATGTTGGTGATGATGATGATAATTATGATTATATTGAATATCATCATCATCATTCCAGCCATAGAACGTCCACTGCTGAACATAGGCCTCCCCCAATGCTTTCCACGTTGATAATCGATCAACGTGGAAAGCATTGGCAACGTAGCGGCCTGCGTCCAGCGCTTCCCTGCTACCTTTACGATGTCGTCGGTCCACCTTGTAGTTGGACGTCCCACGCTTTTTCCGGTACGCGGCCTCCATTCCAGAACCTTTCTGCCCATTATTGAATATGATTATAAAGAAATTCACATCATAAGTTCAGCCTACTTATACAGCTGACTTAAATGACCTGATGAGGATGATGGTGATAATGAATAATGATGATGAGATAACAGCTCACATCATAGACTCCGTGTGGACGTGGGAGCGGCTGGTGTTCAAAGCCCGGAGTAGCGGCGCGATGTGCATGAGTGTTTCATTGACGCCAACTAAAGCCCGGTCCGTGAGCACGTAGAATTTTGACAAAATTCTACGTGCGCACAGACCAGACTATATAGCAGTGCTGTTTGGAGTTGGTAATCGTGATAAAAATGAAGATGGTGGTTTTGTTGATGAAGATGATGTGGATGACAATAATAATAAATAAATAATAAATATCCTTAGACATTTTACACTGCGCTTATAGTCCCAAACTAAGCAATGCTTGTACTATGGGTACTAGACAACGGATATAAACATACTTAAATACTTTTTTTTTTAAACATACTTATTATACATAGAAAACACCCAGTCCAGTACAAACAAATATGTTCATGCACACAAATGTTTGTACTGTGCGGGAATCGAACCCGCTACCTCCGAAATAGTAGTCCGTTTCGAACCACTACACCAAACGGCCGACAACGACAATGATGATGATGGTGCGTATTATGCCTATGATGATGATGATAAAGTAAACTCACATCATAGACTCAGTGTGGACGTGGGAGCGGCTGGTGTTCAAGGCCCACAGTACTGTAACTAAGTAACTGGCAGAGGCTTTAATTTGAACACGCTTGCTGAGCTGTTTGGAGTTGGTGATCATGATAAAAATGACGATGATGATGGTGTTGTTGATGAAGACGATGTTGATGACAATGATGATGTTGTTGACGATGATGATAAAGTAAACTCACATCATAGACTCTGTGTGAACGTGGGAGCGGCTGGTGTTCAAGGCCCGCAGTAGAGGCGCGATGTGCATGAGTGTTTCATTGACTCCAACGGGTAGCGGCTTCACGTTGAACACGCTTGCTGTGCTGTTTGGGCAGCTCTATAATAAGTAAAAATAAAGGAACATTACAATGGACATCATACAAAGACAAAAACTTAACAGTAGCACGTTATCAAGGAAGTTTACTGAGCAGAGCCACCTTGTCGCAATAGCAAAGCTCATTGCAATGTAATGGAACCCCATTCAGCATTATTACAAGCTATTATATTGACTTCACTTGTTAGTATGTGTAAGGCAATCTTGCAACTGAATTTAAGACCAGTTCTCCTCAACCGATTGAGCTGAAATTTGGTATACTTATGTAAGTACGATGACAATGAAATATTATGGTACCATTGAGCTGGTCTGATTATGGAGACAGGAGGTGGCCATAGGACCTTCTAAACGAAACGGAGGAAATTCATCGAGTTTGGGTTCGTTGGATTTGTCTTTTTGAACACTTTAGTGCTAGATGTTGACCAAGGCCCTCGGATTGAGAGCCAACTAAAAAGTGTAAAATAAAATTATAATAAAAATTAAACTTTTTTAAAAACAAGCTTTATTCTGATATGCAGTTGTACTAAAACGAAAAAATAATTGTATGCAAGGTTCAAAATATTCCATGCGCGATACAAGCTTTCGAAATTATTTGAACATTTCATACAATTATTTTTTTCGTTTTAGTACAACTCTGCATTTCAGAATAAAGCTTGTTTTTAAAAAAAGTTTTTTTTAATTATAATTTTTTATTATACCGTGACCCACGGTGAACAAGGTCACGACCCGAGTTATTAGTGTGCCCCAACTATTAACTAACTCCAGACATGTTCCATTTTATCACACACATATCAGTACAATAGAAAAGAATAAAATATCCAAGAGAAACAAATGTGTGAGATTTACTCAGGTCTCCTAAACTAATGCTGTAGCAGATCAGAGGTCACACATTTTCCAGGACGAAAGATTTTGTCTTTAACTGTTATCCAATGAGGGTTTTCGCGTATGAAAAATCCGCCAGATGGCAATACGTAGACGCGGGGTCCAAATGCTGCATGATTGGTTATTTTTGACATGACATTGACAGATATGTCAAAATCCACCAATCACCATCAACACCAACGCAGCAGTCGGACCCCACATCCACGTCCCGCCATCTAGCGGATCTTTCATTCGCGAAAACCCTCATTACTATAGTGGAGAAAGAACAGCTAGTACGAACACCTTAAGTAGGGTTTCAGAAGTGGCAGAAGTTACTAGAAGTGACACTTCTACCACATCACCTATATTGATGAAGATAAACGAAAATATACGCACCTCAACAGATAAAGGCAGCATAGCAACAGCTTTATCCACATACAGTAGCCTTCCCGCCGCCATCCATGTAGTTATGACATGTGAAGCCACCATTCCCCATAAAGCTCCCTTGCCATTCGCGACAGGACATAATGCAGCTAGTACGAAGACCCCAAGTAGGGCTCCAGAAGTGGCAGAAGTTACTAGAAGTGAGCCTTCTACTACTCCGCCGACTACGCCGACGCAAAGCGACAGGCACATTATGGTTATAGCTGGAAAGAGAAAAGAAAATATTCTTTATTCAAGGAGTTTGGCAGTTTCAACAGTAATACCTTACCTTTATAGCTAGTGGAATGGTGCAAAAGTGACTGTTACAATATAAGTGGTCTTAGATAAATCATGGATATGGATTATGGGTATATCATTGCTAAATTTTAAATAAATTATGCTAAACGATCTATCAGAAGTTGGAATAGGTTGTACGTTAAATATAAGCTAATGTAAAGACAGAGTTTAGGGGAAGCAAGGTTCTGGAATGGAAGCCGCGTACCGGAAAACGCAGCGTGGGACGTCTACCCACAAGGTGGACCGACGACATCATAAAGGTAGCAGGGAAGCGCTAGACGCAGGCCGCTATCAATCGATCAACATGGAAAGCATTGGGGGAGGCCTATGTTCAGCAGTGGACGTCCTATAGCTGAAATGATGATGATGATGATGATGATGATGATGATGAAAGACAGAGACTCTACCAATCCCTTCATTATACAGCTCTCAATGGTGCGTCTATCTTAGTCTCACTCAACATTAAGTGCTCCAATTTAAATGATCAAAACCCCTATACTATCTGTTTAATACTATTGTAAGCTCGCTTCCACCTTCGGCCTAATCATTACTTACCATCAGGTGAGATACAGGCCAAGAGCTTCCTAGTTGGGAATAAAAAAAAATTGGTAACTGGTTTCCCCGGTTCTATGGGCCCATCATCTAGTGCAGTGGTTCTTAACCGGTGGTCCGCGGACAACTGGTGGTCCCTGGAGGCATTCCAAGTGGTCCACCAAGTGTACTTGCACGCCTTAGTCAAAACCATTTTTGCAGTTAAACTGGTTTACTTTTGACCGATTATGATTAGGTATGAGGTGGTCCCTGACAAGACAGAAATTTGGTAAAATGGTCCCTCATGACTTAAAGGTTAAGAACCACTGATCTAGTGGGAAGCACCTAGAAGTACTTGTGGAAATCCTTAGAAATTTTTGTACAGCAGTAAGGATCGTCCTTCAGCCAAAGGACGCTTCTAGCAAAAGGACGTTTTTAGCCGAAAAGAAGTAGAAAATAATCTCTAACTCACAATAAATGACGCCAATGATTTTGATGACCGTTAGCTGCTGCTTGTCGGCTATTCCCTTGAAGGGTGGCGCGGCCGATACGAAGTCCTCCCACGTCACAGTAGCCAAGGAGTTCACGTTTGATACCAGGAAGCTGGAAATAACAGATAATAATTTATCTATATGAATAAAAACGAATTGCTGTTCGTTAGTCTGATTAAAACTCGAGAACGGCTGGGCCGATTGAGCTGATTTTGGTTTTAAAATGTTTGTCGTAGTCCAGGGTAGGTCTAAACGGTGAGCAAATAAGGAAAAATTGCGATGGCTTATTTATTGCCTTTAAGGCGGAACAGAGTTCGCCGGGTCAGCTAGTATAGCATAAAATACACTTGCGATAGCGTTAATGCAGCTTAGGACGTCCGCAAGGTGGACAGATGACCTTATAGATTTTGCAGAAAGCCGCTGGATAAAGGACGCCTCCGACCGGCCAATCTGGAAATCATTAGGGAAGGCCTATGTTCAGCAGTGAACGTCCTGTGGCTAGAATGGTGATGATGATGAGAATACCGTCAATTACATTCCGGTGGTTTCCCAATGTCCCCAAAACTTAGTGATCAAAGCAGGTACCCAGCAATCTTAAGATCGTGAATACAAATCCCATGTGAGACAGTATTTTGGTTTTAAATTAATCATGTTTGAGAAATAGTTACCCCATCATGGACGAAGTATAGACCCACGCAATTTATTTAATTTAATTAACTGTATGGTTATGTTGGGAGAGGCCTATGTTCAGCAGTGGACGTCCTATGGCTGAAATGATGAACTGTATGGTTCAAAGAAAAACCCTTCTGAACAAAGAAGAAAGACTGCTTCAACTTACCTCAAAGCCCCATTGAAGAGACTGCCCAGGAACAGTCCCAGCATCCCAGGCAAGAACGCGAATTGGTCTTCCACATAATAAGCCAGGACTTCATCGGGTGCAGCAATTCTCCCAGACATCAGAGGGTCGCAGTTCTTGTATACCGCATATAACGCCATGCCCACCACCCAGGATAGACTGAATCAAATTAATAATGTTTATCCAATTTTGAGCAGTATTTTGGCACTTATGAACGTTTCATCATCTCTGTAAACAGTTTATAAACAGTCCATAAACATAGGTGATGAAATATTGTTTATGATACATGTTGCCGTGCTCCCCGCTGTGAGTGGAGAGCAATTAGTGTGGACGGCCAAGATTCAGAAACCTGTGTTTATGGTAAACTTGTTTCACACTGGTCATAAACAGACTTAAACAGTTTATCAACAAAAAATGTTGCCTAATGAATACATGGCTTGACTATTCACCTCTTGTTCCCACCGCTGCAACTTCTGTGTAGCCAGAATCTACAGCTTGACAACAATTATAACCCAACCAATGAAGGTTTTGGCATTTATGAACACTAAAAAGCTATCTTCTATAACTATGAAAGTGAGAGGTGACTGATGCTCCTTTTCAGCATCAATCCCTAATTTTTAAGTGACCCCTATTAACAGGAATTTTGTGGTCATAGTGGTAACTTAAAACGGGCATGAATCACTCACTCATCACGAAATCTCAGAAAAAAACAAGTGTTAGTCTCAAATTTTGCATGGAGGTTCCTTTTTGAACGTAGGTGCTCGCTAAGAACAGATTTTACGAAACTCTACCTCTAAGAGGCTGAAACGGGATCCACGCGTACGAAGGTCACTGACTGACTCACTCATCATGAAATCTCAGAAAATACAATTAGTGCTAGGAGTCTCAAATTTTCCTTGGGGGATCATTCTGTCTCCTTCCTAAAGTTGCTGTGCCCTAACTGGGTCCACATTGTATAACTGCCTAAATTGTAAGACCTAAAATGTGAATGCTAATGTGGTTATGCAAAAAAATAAACTATTGAGTATTTTTTTTTATATTTGATCCAAATAGCGTCCTAAATCCTCTTTAGGTTTGTCTAGACGCTATTGTTCTCTATACAAATAAAAACAAACGTTTTAGTATAAGCATTATATTGAATAAGTATTATATTAAATTATTATATTGAATAAGCTACTTAATCAACTCCTTAAATACCCTTTCACCCTGTATAAAGCATAGTCCTTAAGGGGCACTTGTCTCCTTATCTTTTGCACCCTACCTGAATAGTATGCCCACAGCTGGGACATTCGCCAACAGAGTCCTATTAACCCTGGCTTCGCTGGACATGGAGCAGTAGCGCTGCACGAAGGTCTGCTGGCAGCCGTAGATGGACACGCGGGCAAAAGCTAGTAATAAATAAATCATAGCCCTTAAGGGGCACTTGTCTCCTTATCTTTGCTCCCTACCTGAATAGTATGCCCACAGCTGGGACGTTAGCCAACAGAGTCCTCCTAACCCTGGCTTCGCTGGACATGGAGCAGTAGCGCTGCACGAAGGTCTGCTGGCAGCCGTAGATGGACACCGACATGAAGAGCTGGCCGAAGATTGCGGACAGGGTGTCCACGCGGACTGTTGGGTCACCTGTAAACCTGGAAAAATTAGAGTGAAGACAGTTTACTTATGTGTTGTCACTGAGGTTTAGTAATTTCCAGTCCACAAATCTAAATATACAACGTGTCCCAAAATTCAAGGATTAGCCGGCGCCGCAGGATGGACATAGTCATGACTACTTTAGGAAAAATAAGGAAAAAAAACTATCTCAATTATTTTTTAAGTTACACAATAAATTACGAAATTCTTCGAAAATTGACACCCCTTATGATATTTTACATTACCACGACCACCATTTTTCAAATATTTCTGTTTTTTTTTGTTTGTATCGGCAACTTAAGTAGTGCTGCTGTTCACCCCAGTTCTTAAAACCCAACCCAGCGCAACTTGGAATCTTGGATAGTTGCGTCAACTTTATAAAAAACTTGCCACAGTACTGTTGGGCATTTCTACGGGGACGACCGATCGACCTACTGGGGCGAAAAAAGTACCTTTAAAATTGAAGTACGGACTTGAAAAAAATCACACGTATTTATAGAACTCTTGACTTGATGGAGAGCATATTTAGAAGACCGCCAGGTTTTACATCTCGCCTTGAAAAAATCCGAAAGTTCAAAAACGGGCGAAATTTGGCCTAAAATGGAGTGTCCGGTTTCCANTTATCCAAATGAAACATTAAAACTCCACGGAAAGAGACTAACAGATTTCGGACTTCCGGAGCCAGATATTGATGAAAATAGTATTTTCTTATCTGATCCCGTTTCTGACTATTAATAAGAGTGTAATGTAAATAACATAACCTATATTAACGATTGAATTTGATTGTTTTGTTAATTTGTCTTAGTTTATTTTGAATGTTGATTTAAAATTAAAATAATTTGTGTAAAAACATTTGCAGTTTTTATTTACCATATTTATTAAACACAACTAACGAAGCTATATGAATCTATATTTAATATTCTTTGAGAACCGATGACTACAGAAACATCTATCTACATTTTGCACCTAGAATTGTGTATTATGAGTCAAATTGCACCCGAGCGGAGCCGGGTTTTCATCTAGTTTATAATATTTTCGAGTAATTTGATGACATGTGATTTTTCCTCAATTCCGTGGATCTCAATTCCGCGGAATATGGGGCATCGAATTGAGAAAACACGTACACCGAATTGATATTAAATGAAAATAGATACTTTTATTGTGCTATAAATTGTTTGTGTAACTTAAAATAATAATGAAATCAATAGAGCATAATAATAGGGTGAACTACCAATCATTGGACCATACCAGTCATTGGACAGAAGAAAATAAAACTAATTTTTTGAGGTTTCATTAAAAAAAAACACTGCTATTGCTATCTTATTAAAATAATTCTTCCAGGTTCTTCCCTCGACCTTCACCAGATCGTCGGTCTGCCTAGTGGAGGCCTGCTCACTGGTCTGTGGTTTACTCGACAACTTTTCAGTCCCTACAGACATTATCTGTACGAGCTATGTGCCCCGCCCACTGCTACTTGATTTATGCAATTTTACGGGCTATGTCGGTCACTTTGGTTCTCTTGTGTTTAAGGTTAAGAATAAATAAACAAAGAGACCCTGTGTTATGTCTTTATTTGTTTTATTTAAATAAAATTAAAATAATAATTATATAAAAATTAAGAATTTATTATAGTTCCTTATTAAAAAATTAAACATATTGATTAGGATTTTTCTTTTATTCCATTAGTATTTCAGACACATAAACCTAAAATGAACCATCTAAATAATAGACCAGCAATGAGATATCAAAACGTTTTAAGTATTTATTATATTAATTATTGAAATACATTAGGTATTTCTTCATAATGTCATCAATTCTAAGTTTGCGGAGCGATTTTTATATTTGGAGATTCATTTCTCAATTCCGTGATTCATTTTCTCAATTCGGTGCTCTCTCAATTCGATGCTTAACATTTCTCATAAACCACTTAACACGTTGACTGCCAAAGTAAATTTACTAATTCGCCAAAATTGAATTTTTTGCTAATCGATGTGTAATGGCTTGAAATGAATAGTTATTGTTAAAAAATATTTTTTGACTATTTATATTGACATATTATACCCATAAAAAAAACTGTCAGCCACCCGTGCCTGACGCGGCCCGAATGGTATAAATTTCAGTCACAGCGCCATGTCAAGCATTTTGTCAGGCACAACAAAATCACGTTTCTGCGTTTTGGCGGGAACTACCGTGTCGCATCGCTTTCCTCGCTAAACCCTCGTGAATACTATCGCTCTGTCCGGTTGCTGTCGGTCAACTGTCAAATTTCGGTCGTGTAAAGTCGAGAAAGACAGCAAGTTATAACTTACTCTCTTCAAAGCCCTAATCAGCCTAATTTTTGTCTGTAATGTTTTAATAATTTATTCCGAAATATATCGTAAACTTGTGATTTTATTAGGAATTTCAAATATTTGTCGTGTTTTTACTAAAATTTTCATTCAAACCTGTGTTAATTTTTATTTAGGTACAAGAGTTGCAGGCCATGCTGAACATACTTTGTTGGGGGCCACGTCAGTCATTTAAAATAGGAAGTAACGCATTAAACGTGCCAGGCGGCCTACTGCGGTCGTTTGATTTAGATGCTTCAGTGTCAGGCTCCAGTGACTGACATGGCCCGAATAGGTTGCATGTTTGTCAGTCACCGGTGACTGTCATGGCAGCCTACGTGTTAACAATATTTAGTGACAATGCTATTTTTACATTCAGAATGGAGTAACATTTATTTTTTTGTATTGAAACTACTTAAAAAACTAAATATAAATTTTAGCACCGAATTGAGAAAAAATACACCGTACAGTAGAAATGCCCTGTTCATACTTTTTTTTTTTTACAAAACGATGAGTCAAAGTGGATTGAAAGTAAAAATCGTTCAAAATTTTAAGGAAATAACATATTTTGATTAACTTTTGTGTAAAAACTGCAAGGATTCTGGGGGTTTTAAGAGTTGGGGTGAACAGCGGCACTACTTAAGTTGCCGATATAAACAGAAAAACAGGAATATTTGAAAAATTGTGGTCGTGGTAATGTAAAATATCATAAGGGGTGTCAATTTTCGTCGAATTTCATAATTTATTGTGTAAGTTAAAAAATAATTGAGATAGATTTTTTTCCTATTTTTCCTAAAGTAGTCATGAATATGTCCATCCTGTGGCGTCGGCTTATCCTTGAATTTTGGGACACGTTGTATAAAAGGAGAAACTGACTGACATCAACGCACAGCCTAAACGGCTAAACGTAGGCACTTGAAATTTGGAAGGGACATAGCTTAGGTACCGTAGAGGTGCACTAAGAAAGGAATTCCCGAAATTCCCACGGGAACGGGAGTTGGCGGGAAAAAATATTTGTATGAAAAAATCTAAACCGCGTAAGATATATGAAGGGGGTAAAACGGGATCCACGCGTACGAAGCCGCGGGCGGCCGCTAGTTACTACTATAAAACATCCATGTCAACCCAGACCCATCCAGTTTAGCTAAACTTAATGTAGGTTTGTGTCAGGAGTTTTATCAGGTGATTAAAATCAGCACTGCGATGCCTAACCACTAACCAGTGACGTTAATGATGCTTCTATGCACTTCACAATTAAAAAGAAATAAAGAAAGATACTAGAAGATAAACTAAAGACTAAAAAGCATTGCCAGATCAGTCTGAGCCTACTCCTAACCCCATCATAATATTTTCAGCTTTTTAATGGGATTTATTACGGGACTATTCCCAGCTCTCATTCCCACCACTGCAACTCCTATGTAGCCAGGATCTACAGCTCGACCGCCAATAAAAACCCAACCAGTGAAGGCCTAATTTGTCCCGGGGGAAAGTTAAACTGTCATTGGACCAAACTAAAATAGTAAGACACTTATAGTCTTATGTCATTGGATCCGCAACGAAAGGACAGTGCCAATCCATGTATGGAAGTTGGACCAAGTGCTGCCCAGAATGAAACCATAGTGCATTTTGTTCCTCAGGCCAATACTAATTTGTACTTTTATAATAATATTATTAGCCTGAGGAACAAAATGCACTATGGGTTGATTCTGGGCAACACTTGGTCCAAACCCTGGCACTATCCTTTATCAGAAGAACATAGGAGATTAATGGAGCTTGCAGAAACATTAATATGCCTCAAATGTTTTACAGAAGAAAGGAAAACAATAAAATGTGTGCTCACTTGAAAAACTGCAGCCTCCCGCCGTCAATATTGTCGCTGACCACCTTCCCCGGCCCGCCCGCCTTGACGGTGGCCTGCACGATGAAGGCGCCGCTCACGATCACCATCGTCATCGTCTGGATCACGTCAGCCCTGGAATTGAACGTCATGGAATTAGATTCTGATATTATGCGGCATGGGGCCCACTGAAAACCAGCGTCGTGGCCTTCCCCACCGTGGGCCACGGCATATTATTATGCTGAGTGGAGTCCCATTGCGATGGGCATCGCTGTTGCGACAGGGTAGCACTGCTCAGTTCACTTTTTATTTCCTTGTAATATTTATGTGCTATTTCTGTTTTTTTTTCTGTATACGTTCTAATGTCATGTATAAGTGATGTTGTGTTTCTTTCTCTTTCTTTCTTTCTAGATTATCAACTTACTGAAAAACGGCGCATTTCCCTAATGGATTTTATCTATCTTCCGGCCAGTGGCCATCGACTGACTTTTCAAAATACACTGCTGTTAACATTGTTGTTATGAAATTTTATGGTGACAAACTTCGGAAAGATGGTGGTAGCTAGCCTAGTGAATTTAGATTCTGATCCTGTAGATCCTGGTTCACAGGAGTTACAGCGGTAGTAACGAGAGGTGGAAATAGTCCCGTTTGGCGGACCTAAGCTCTAAATGTAAACATTCTAAATGCAAAATATCAAACAGCGTGTCAGAATTTTACGACGATGTTATTGTATCTATTTTCTTTTCATTTCAAACACCAGCAGTAATTTCAGCTTGGAGATAAGGCTTGATTATAGGATGCACCTAGACCATGAATCTCAATGAGCTAAGTGGTCAGAACAGTATGATGACTTGGGCCGTATTACTAATCAGATCTTCAAAGTGTCTCATTTTGTTTATTTTACAGTTAAGAATTTTTAGACATAAAGAGTAAAACATTCGGAATTTTAAACTAAGGACCCTTTACATGTCTCATAGTCCTTTTGTGTTTCTTAAGCGCTTCTTGAGGAACATTTTTATTATTTTATTTTATTTTACTAAGTAATATGAAGCGGAAACGTTACAAACCACAATTGACGGGTACAGTCTAAAAATAAATAACAGGAAACAGTAGTTGTTTACGTTGTTAATTAAGGAGTTATTCTCTGAATTATTAACCACGCTCTCTTATCGCTAGCTAATAATAGAGGTTACCTACGGTACGGTATAAAATATGCTACTGTATATGAAGCAAAGTAGCCCAATAAAAACCCTTTTAGACATTCGAGAAAAGACCAATTTCCTCCGGCATTTTGGCTACCACCATCGTCTCAAAATAAGATTAAAATCTTGATTGCTTTATGAATGTTAGAAAAAGCTTTCTCTGGCCTATTTACTTTTATTTCACCATGACCATTGTCTTAATTTAAATAGCTCTAAATTCTGTCAACAATTTCAAGATTGTGATTGGTTTATGAATATGGATAACTCTAGTGTAGGCGCTGCGAACGCGCGACACCGTGTTAAATTAGACAATACATGCGCTACACATACCGTAATTATGTTCTTTGCTACTCCAGCGAATTTGCTGGAAATAACTTTAAAAAAAAAAAGAATAATAAAATTTTCACTTGTGACCCAAGCCTGACACAAACGAATCAGAAAGGCATATTAGTGCCCGTTTTCACCATCAATCCCTAATTTGTAAGTGACCCCTATAATGATACATAATATGAATGTCGTTTACATAGGGGTCACTTAAAAACGGGCATAGGGCAACTAAATCTTAAGAAATACTTATTGACATAACAAATAGAAAATATACAACACTACCGTTAATTTTATTCACCAATAGATGATGACCCGGCAAACTTCGTACCGCTATGATCATCAGAAATTTTCAAATCAATTCAGTAGTTTCGGAACAAACAAACAATCAAACCTTTCCTCTTTAAAAATAAGTGTAGTTTTGCCTCCGGTATCTAAAATAAAGAGGGTCGAACTCCTGCAGTGAATATCAAGTAATCTCACTTTGATGACGATTTTCTTTACTAACTCTAGACATTTACATCACAAAATTAAATAAAACACAAAATTATCATAAAATTAATAAAATCAACATGTAATTTGCTGGTTAACAAGCCTATTTTTTGTACTCATTCTCTACCTAATACCTACCTATGTAGGTACTTTAGGTATACATTGAATAATATAAAACATGTCCTAACCAATAAAATTCAACTAAATACACAGCGGAGGGTATTTCCTGTGGCATCTACAATTACGTACTAATTGTAGCGGTCACATTTTATTGTTTTTCCTACATTTTCCTTTATAAAATGAAAAATAAAAGATAATAAGGCATTTATTTTTATTGTTTGTTTTTCTAATGCAAATAAAAATCGTAATACAAGCATTTTAGCTTAGCTTAAGGGGTTAATTAGTAGTAGCATTCTGTGGTATAGATTGTTTCATGATGAACTTACTTATATACTAAACTAGCTGACCTGGCGAACTTTGTTCCGCCTTAATGGCAATAAATAAGCAGACTTTTTTTTTTAATTTCGAACGAGATAAAAAGTATCATGTGTCCTTTTCCTGGCTCTAAACTACCTCCCTGACAATTTTCAGCTAAATCGGTTCAGCCGTTCTTGAGTTATAAGTGGACGTGGAGTAACTAACACGACTTTCTTTTAGTATAGTGATTTAGCTCCAAAATCCTTTATCTCCGTTCTAGATCGTTTCATCCACGAAGACGCGCCCCACCAATTTATAGTCTCGGTCGCGCGGGGTGCGGGGAGTTTGATTTTTTTTTTACAAGGAAAACAATACAGTGTTGAAACTATGTAGACTAATCCGAGCAATCCGAGCGTCATTATTGTAGTGTGCGTGTGCACTCATGGATAATTTAGCGTGTACCGATAACACTCAAACATTAGCAGAAGAATGGTGGGGCGCGACTTCGTGGATGAAACGATCTATAGTAATGACAACAAAAACCACCTTTTTAATAAAATTGATATAAATCTAGGTCAACGCAATTTAGTTGTGTCATATCTTGGCTAGGATAATTGTTTTACACGGTTATTGTCAATTATGTCATTGTATTCATATCATCGCGTATTTAATTGAGTATGCGTTGATTTACTTTAATACTCGAACTGACGTGCCTAAATAGGACAAAGGCCTTTGAAGGGCTTAGGATTTCTACAAGGACCGATCCTGTGTTGGTCGCATCCAGGCGTTTTTCAACCTTCACTATATCGTCAGTCCACCGAGTGGAATATGCCTATAATAGCAACTCGCAAGAACGTTAAATTAGTAGCTCTAGTCTATAAAAGATGTTGCAGTCAAAACTCATAATAGATCAAAACCACTTTTAACTGAAAAAATCAGTCAAAGTGATATTGACCAGGGCATCAGTGAAAACCACTGTTGACTGCAAAAATCAGTTATAAGGTTTTGACCGTACCTAACATTACTTACACATACCTTTTACAGTAGCACAAGAAAACATTATAGGTATATTGGACTGAGACCCAGCATAATATTTATTTCCCTGTCAGTTTAAGTCAAATCATCATCATCAGCCCTTTACAGTCCACTGCTGGACTATGAGCTCCTCCACTATAGTGGAGGGTTTTGCCATAATGCCCACGCTTGGCAGGCGGGTTGGAGATCGCAGTTTAAAAGATTGATGTTTTTCAGAGAGCGGTGCTCCCCGTTCTGTGTTTGATGTGTAGTACCTTATAAGTCGCCTCTTATGACACTCGTGGGAAGAGTAGGGGTTGGTGACAAATGTATTCTACACTGCCGTCACCACACGGCTTTAGTCAAATAACTTATCTCAATAGACAATTTGACACCATTCTCCAATAATTCGAAACCACAACATTTCTAAAAAAATCAAAATTATCTTTATTTGTTTAGACTAATTAAATCAGTACTTGCAAATCGTCAAATGCTCTTAAGGAGCCTATACATGTCTCATTCTTTTTTTGCCCTACCAGCGCTTCGAGACAAACATTTGGCAAGTGCTGAGAAGAAGCGCCGCAACAAACTCAGTCACCACTGTCTGCCGGTTTAAGAAGACACTTCATTCTGGTCTTAAAAAATTAATTAAATTTAAATTACCTGTAAATTACGATTTTTGGTCGCATTATAATTGAAAAAAGTAGTGTCATTGAGTTGACAAAATAGTGACGTCATTTGCTTGTAGTGCCATACAAAATCTATGGGAGAGTTTCGTTTTGCCAGTTTTAAAAAGTACGTGAATTGATTGGTGGTGTCAACATGTCAATTACCTGATAGCAGCAGCCAGCCCGCCAAGCAGGTTGAAGACGATAGCCACAGCTGTAAGCACAGCGGCTGAAGCCCAGTGCGGCAGTGCCAGGACCGCGTGGAGAGCCACGGTCGGCGTGTAGACCGTGACTGCCAGGTTGAGGAGCTGTCTGATGAGGAAGGTGGCGGCGGCTAGGCGACGCACCCAGGAGCAGTTGAAACGCATCTGTGAAAATAACGCTTGATGTGTTACTCGTATTCCTTAGTTGATACCGATCAGGTATTTACGAAGTTATAAAAAGGCCGCACTGATATTGACGTCCCTTAGTTATTTGCAACTCAAAAGTTATGATTAGATCCCCAGGCTAAAAAAAACTCTAAAAATGAGCCTCTCAGATTTTTTCTTGGAATAGAAGTTACTGGTGCCATACACCTAGGTAATCCTTCATATATAAAAACTATCGAGTCTTTTGAAAATTGACAAACGCTGGCCGTAACAGCGTATTAAACTTGAAAATTTCAACGGGTTCATCCAGTGTCTAAGTAGTTCAGCTTGAAGTGCAGTCGCCCGGCAAGCGGAAGGTCGTGGGTTCAATTCCCGCCTTAGGCAGTTCGATTTTTTCAAGTTATTTATAATTTTCAAATTAGTTTAAGATGCGACTCTTAAAAAATTAAATAACTATCGATTGTTTAGATGAGAAATTAAGTAAACTTCGCATGCCTATCAAATTCCATCAGCCTATTATAATGCGAAAAACCCTTTGACCTCAAAGGATGGTCAGGGCATGCTAAAGCTTTTCCATTTTTTCATCCAACTATGATACTTATGCCCGTTTTCACCATGAATCCCTAAGTGACCCCCATGGTGACACATAACAGGCATTTTGGCTTCTTAGGGTTCACTTTAAAAAATTAGGGATTGATGGTGAAAGCGGGCATTAGTCATGGATCAGGTTGGCTTCCTACAACACCTTCGCCGTGACGTGGTCTTCGATCGAATCCCATTTACTGAAAAGTTGCATATTAAAGACTCTTTAATTATCAAATGTTACCTGAAGATACTCGTAAACGGAGTTGGTGTGCAGCCGATAGTAGACCGGCACGAAGATGAAGCAGACCAATGGGAAGGCCAAGATGATGCCGTACAGCGTCTCCCACATCGCCGACCCTCGGTACACCAGCTCCGACGGGAATCCTGGAAGGAGAAGAAAATTTTTTGAGACCCGTGTTTCTCTATTTTCTATTTTAATACAAAATGAACGCGAAAGTTTCAAGTCTTGTAGAGGAGAGAAGATGTTACGTAGTTTAGATAACTAATGTGGGAAACCTTGCTCCTGGAGGCGTTTGTCTAACAGTGGAAAGTTTAAAATCTTATAGAGGAGAGAAGATGTTATGTAGTTTTGAAGAAATAGGAAAACTATTGTGGAAAACCTTGCTCCCGGAGGCGTTTGTCTAACGTCATTTAACTGAAATGAACGAATAAAGAAAACTATTGCGTCTTGCCAATGTTCAGTCGTTTTATGCCCGTTTTCACCATCAATCCCTAATTTTTAAGTGACCCCTATGGTGATACAAACAGGAATAAATTTTTCATAGGGAGTCACTTAAAAATTAGGGATTGATGGTGAAAACGGGCATTACAATTTTATTATTACAAGCTTTATATTGACTTCACTTGTTAGTATGTGTGGGACAAATCTTGCAACTGAATTTAAGACCAGTTCTCCTCAACCGATTGAGCTAAAATTTGGTATACTTATGTAAGTACGATGACAATGCAATATTATGGTACCATTGAGCTGGTCTGATGATGGAGTCGGGAGGTGGCCATAGGAACTCCTAAACAAAACGGCGGAAACTCATCGAGTTTGGGTTCGTTGGATTTGTCTTTTCGAGCACTTTAGTATTAGATAATGTCCAGGGTCCTGAGATTAAGATATAACTAAAAAGTGTAAAATAAAATTATAATAAAAATAAACTTTTTTAAAAACAAGCTTTTATTCTGAATTTCGAAAGCTTGTAGCGCAAACAGAGAAAAAGAGGAGTAAATTCCATGCGCGATACAAGGTTTCGAAATTCAGAATAAAAGCTTGTTTTTAAAAAAGTTTATTTTTATTATAATTTTTTTTAGCTAGTGAAATAGTACGTCAGTTCTGTTCGTCTCTACATTAAATCTAATTTAATTAGGATTCCTAATATAGCTTGGTTCGTTTGTATTAGCCTTTACACTGCTGAACAAAGACCTCTCCCAAGGATAACCACAACCACCTATCTATGTGCTACCCGCATCTAGGTGCTTCCCGCGCGCGACCTTCACCAAATCGTCGGTTCACCTAACTTAGACTCCACCTAGCATAGATTGGTTAATTTTTATTATCATTACGTTATGTAGGTATGTAGGTATGCAATTTCACAATCGTTGATAGTTTTTCAAAGGTATGTGTGTACGAGGATTTATAAAAATGTTATTATACTTACATAGAATTTTGTGCTACAATGTTACTATGTGTAGTCTCTATGTATGATTTTTCGTCCTACAATTAGATGTCGATTGTCATAAAAATGCTTATCATTGAGAAAATTAAAACAAATTGCAATTAAATACATATCAGTACGCGATTTTATCCGGTTTGCCACTGGATTAATCATGCTTCGTGCCATTATTGTGACCCTAAATTCAGTTTCAATTAATAAACCATGGGTCCATGGGCAATCCCATAAAACAAATCTACTTGAAAGGTTTATTGGACTGAGTACATACTGTAACAAGTAGGAAGCGATCCTGTTAAAATCAATGTTTAACTTTACGTATAACTTTAATATCACGTTAATCCCAGCTGGAAGTAGGTCTCCAAACAGTAATGGCGTCAAATTTATTTCTATGACAATATAAAATGCTATTTCCTCTATAATACTTGTAAAACACCATGTTCTTGTGTCGTCTCCGCAATCATGTGCATTACGGTGTAATGATAGAGCTAAATGGAAAGCCACACTACGTGCCAAAATTAGACCTAACTCTATTTCAGTCGATTTTGATGTTTGCCATTGATATAGTTTGAGTCCTGGGAAAGGATATAGGATAGTTTTTATCCCGGTTTTTGAAACAGGCACCAGCGCGATAAAGTTTTTCTGTGACAGACAAAATTTCACGCGGGCGAAACCGCGGTTGAAAAGCTAGTATCTTATAATAGTTCCCACAGCAATCCAGTTTTCCAGTATCCCGTAAAATTAGACTGTCGTGTGAGTAAACACACATGTGTATTTGAAATTCGTGTTACAAATTCTAACGGATCGGTTTTTTCAGGACACTGCAATCGGTATGTTCGTACAAAAAACAGTGCCTGCAAAAAACGTGGGAAAAGTTCTAATTCATAAAACAATCTCAACCAAAAGATTTGTCATCCTTTTGCATCATAACTTTGTCTAAGATACCATTTTAGTCACAGTTGCACGTATTACCGTAGTACTTATTATTATTATGTGGTATTACGGAATGTAATTTGCACTTTAGACTCTAAAGACAGTACTAATTATGACGTAAGTAATTAAATTACAAAGTGCTTTGTTCTGCTACAATATTTGAGGTTGTTTCTAACATACAAGTATGACAGTTTCTGCTATTTTCTTATGTAAGTACTCGCATATCCGATGAAACTAAAAAAAACTTATTACAAGTGCACGGTTATTTTTTAAAGTGTATAGAAAAGAAATAAATTTTCATTTTATATAAACGGGTCTTTTCACTCATAGAGTAACTGTCTACTTTCCAACTGCCGAAACACATGCCTATTAACATTTAAATAATGCTGTTACGATAAGCATAGTTGCAAGTAGGTAAGTTTTAAAGTTTTCTCTACTAGTTATTGGACCGACGATCTGGTGTAGGTCGCGAGAGGTGCCTGGATGCGGGCAGCACAGGACCGGTCTTTGTGGAAATCCTTGGGGGAGGCCTTTGTCCAGCAGTGGACGTCTTTCGGCTGAAACTACTAGTTATTAGTAAATAGGTGTCGATGGACGATCTTTACTGGAATCTGCAATATTGAGGAAATAATACACATTCCAAGTATGTAGGTACTACGTCATAGGTAAGTATTGCCTTAGATTTCAACCACCATTTAGTCACCTGCGTCAAAGGAACTATTCAAAGGAAATAGGTAGAAATACGTGCGTATTGTAAAACCCAGTAAGTTAAGAATGATTAAAACATGACAAAGATTAATTATTGTTACAGATGAGTCATGCAGAGCTAGGGAGAGGGACACGATAAGGTGCCTAACCTTAACCTAGTTTTGAGTGCACCCTTTTGTTTTCTTTTTCCGCGGTGTTGATAATGTTACTCATTATTTGAGGTGTATGCAGGCTGCGTTAAAGACAATTTACAGTTTTACGGCTGCATTAAAAATTATTTAAAAATGTATGTTATACTTTCATACTGAAATGTTAAATGACCATTTAATATTGTAACCCCTTTTTCTATTTCTAATAGACAGCTGTCAGTAGTTGTCTGGAAGATGTGTCTAGCGATTTAACTAAATGATTTCAGTTGGTGATTTCCTTTCAATAGTTATTAACATTTCTTATCGATTAGAGTCGAATGGAAGAGCAGTCGCCCGGCAAGCGAAAGGTCGGGGGTTCGATTCCCGCCTTAGGCAGTTCGATTTTTTCAAGTTGTTCATTTATAATTTACTTTCGTTTTTCGTTTAATCAAAAAACTGAACTACATAACGTACAAAACTAAATAATAATGCTTTTGAACTAAGCTGTTCGTATGATAATATTATGTTTACTACAAATCAACGTCTAATCCCAAAAAAACCGTTTTAAAACGCATTACGTGTTTATAAAAGAATGTTATAAAATTGCTTACTTCCTTATATTTCTACTCGTATGTGCGTATATCGTGCCTACATTAACTATTCTCCCACAAGAAAAAATGAAGACGTCGGAAAAAAATATAACCTTAAACTTGCGAACGTCATTGTTATAATTTTACAGTTAATGTCCTGTCATTAACGTCTTTTATATTTGCAAACTAATATTTGGTTTTGGAAATTCGTAGTAGATGTAATAGCTTCTTAAAAGAGATCTGATAACCTAAACTTTAAATATAATTAAAGTACGTACCTACCTATTATTTTATTTCGGTATTTAAAATATTAATGCTAAGTAGACCCAGTTAAAATGGATTATAAGAATTCCCAGTCTTCAACGAGACTGTTCGGACTACATGTCTGTTTTTGTTAATCATTTATCAATCAATTTTCGAATCAAAATGTTTCAAAACGATCAATCTTATCTAACTGTAATACGTGCGAATTTGTAAGAAAAATATACAGTCAGATATAAAATATAACTACAGGTCACATAAAGGAGACAATCACAGGAAACACAATAGTTAAACTAATATAATGCCAATTGTCGCAAACCAAACATAATTGCACGTTAAAACCACATATTTACGAAACAAACTCTGCCCTGTCAACATTCGCAGTGCGTACCGTTAGTCACATCTGTCAACAATTTACTCTATGACTATCAAATGAATCATTGTTCGATAATAAAAGTCGTTCATGCATTTTCGATTGATTAGAAACACTTTTGACTTTTCATGTTCTTGATAATTTCTTTTCCGTGAACAATTTTAACTAATTAGGTAATGCTATGACTAATCATTATTTTTGATCGCGAGCCTGAATTGTTTTTATAAATGAATTTGGTGGTTAATGCCACAGCCAGTTTATTTCATTCATGGATCATCATCATCATAATCAGTCATAGAACGACCACTGCTGAACATAGGCCATCCCTAATGATTTCCAGATTAATCAGTTGATAGCGCCCTGCATCCAGCGCCTTCCTACTACCTTTATGAGGTCGTCGGTCCACCTTGTGGACGTCTCACGCCGCTTTCGGTACGTGGCCTCCACTCCAGAACTTTGCTACCCCTTCGACCGTTCTGCATACTATTTAACCAACTCTGTGGTCTAGGGGTAAGACCACCTGCTTTAGACGCAGAGGTCCGGGGTTCGATTCCCAGTGGGGGCAGATTTTTCGGTTCGGTTTGGTTGGTGGTAGGGCTTGTTCTAAGTCCGCCTGGCTAGCTACCATAATCTTACCTAAGTCTGTCGCCATAACAACAATGTTAATAACATTGTTGTGTTCTGACAGTTAGACGTAAGATAGCCAGTTTCTCCGTGGTTGAGGATTCCGGGTGAAGCTCGCTTCCACCTTCGGCCTGATCATCACTTACCATCAAGTGAGATACAGGCCAAGAGCTTCCTCGTTGTGGATAAAAAAATAAAAATAAAAACTATGTGCCCTGCCCATTGCCACTTCAGCTTTAATTGGGTATTTGATTTTAATTGGAATCAAAATCAAAAAACCAAAAGAGTTTGTCCCATTTACCTATTGCCCCGAAGCAGTGGTATGGTTATAGTAATACTGGGACATGTAAAAGCGTTTTTTAAAAGCTTTTTTGCTGAAAATATTATGACTTTGACTTTTCAGTAGAAAAAGCCTCAGTCTCTAAGTGATGAGTGACGGTGATGCATGATGTTAAATAGGATTTATATGCGATTTTATATTGTTCGTTAGTATTGTGTTGTAGTAAGTACATAAATGAAGGCAATGTAGGAATAATAATCGTTAATGAACTTATGGATACTTATAGACGTAGAATATTAAATTATTATTAAAAGCAATTTCAGTAATTTACTATCAATTCTTCCTTCTTCATTGGTAATTTCATCTATAGTAAATTTTATATTTTAATTACGTATTTGACAGGGTATAAGACATCTTTTAAATGCGGTGATAAATATCATTAAAGCCTATTTTATTTTATTTATGAACATAAGTAATAATTATTATTATGGCCCATTGTTATGACAATATACTATATTTAGTACAGCCTATAATGTTTTGTTTGCAATTTCAATATTTTCCTCCTATATTGATTTACATTTTGAAATATTAATTTCTTAGGCCTGTCAAAACTTTAAATAAATATGGTCATTTTACACAGCAGCGTTAACTCTAGTGCTATTTGAAGCAACTCTTGTAATTTGATTACAGTACTTATATTTCTACTTATTATTAGCAATCTATTATTTTTGCTACTTCGCTATTGGCATCTACTTAAATAGATTAGGCGACTAACGCCCGTATTCACAAACATTACTATGAGGTCTCACAGTGCGCGTGGACGCACAGGGTGACACATGAACCAATCACAGAGTATTTTCAACGCTGTGCGTTCGATTTGCTGCTTCACTTAAGCAAGCATCGTTTGTGAATACGGGCGTAAGACACAAATTATAATGTACGAACATCAGGTCTCCCCAACCCGTCTGTCCAACGTGGCTAGTATAGACCAACTCCTCCCTTCCCTCTGGTCAATTAGGTGGTCATGCTCCTGCTAAAGCCTGACAAAGGTGACTGAGTTTCTTCCGCCACCTCTTCTCATTACCAGCCGATATGTTGTACCGAAGTGGTGATAGGGCAAGCTATATTTCTTGGGACGCGTTTAAATGCTCTAAAGTCAAAGTCAAAGTCAAAATTTCTTTATTTGTTTAGACTAATAAATAGTTCTTACAAATCGTCATTTTGCTCTTAAGGAGCCTCTACATGTCTCATATTCTTTTTACCCTACCAGCGCTTCGAGACCAACATTTGGCAAGTGCTGAGAAGAAGCGCCGTAACAAGCTCAGTCACCACTGTCTGCCGGTTAATATAAATAAAAGGGCCTACATTAAGGAACTCGAATGAAGACTATATTATGCTTACCTAAAAAGGATCTGACTCCTGCGATCACCGAGACGCCTAGTTTACTAAATTATCTACTAATATTTTCAAAAAACGGTGGACCAATGTCGAGAAGAAGCTGCGCTATGTACTGTGGAGTTTCCATTTGCCTCTGGTCAATTACAGACTATGGACGGGTGTCTATGGGCGACGGTAATCACTTACCATCAGGTGACCCGTCTGTGGGTCTAGACAAAGTGCAAATTATAATCGCAAACCAGTTGAAAAGTGGTCGAAAAGCTCCTTTTTTGTATGGAGTTTTGACGGATTCGATTTTCGATTCGATCAAAATGTGCGTTTTGTCTAGGGGGGCTGCTCGTTTGCCTCCTGTCACCTTAGATTAATAAAACCTAGATGGATAGTCTTCATACAAACGCTTCGTCAAGAGTGAGGCAAACATCTTATGTCATTAGTGTCAATTTTGTTGGGGAGTGTAGACAATGAAGGCGATTTTCCCGAAAGTAGGGAAATTTTTAATACGTTTTTAATTATTTTATAATTAACATAAACAAAACGCATCATGTACTTACTTATTTATTGAATTCAAAGTACCTACCTAATAACAATAAGATAAATCGACTTAAAAGTCTCGATTTCATAAAAAAGGAAGTGTATTTGTACGGCGAACAATTGGGAAATAAATTTTCTTGTTACTGGTATCATTCCCGTATTTAATTTTTGAAAGCCAAATTCAAGCAAAATACGCGTCCTATTGTAGTACTTACTTATGAAATGTAACACTGGTCACTTTCTTTCGTTTTTCTGATGTATTTTAGACACCCTTTCACAGCACAAACCGTTTTAATTAATTAAAATTCGTCGGACATGTTTACCAATTTTTCACTTTGACAGTTCATGTGACGTTTACGGGTGAGCCGTGCCGGCTCCCTAAAAACTGCCTCACCTTTCGTGCACTGACTATCTATCTAGGTTTTATTAATCTAAGCCTGTCACATAAAAAAAAATGATGATGATAATAATAATGATGATGATGATGCTTACCAAGAAAGGATCTGACTCCAAGCGTCCCTCTAGCCACGGACAATATCATAGCGATCACTGACACGCCACCGCCGGCGAATATGTACGCTCGCTTGGCGCTGCCCCCGGCTTCGCTCGCGTCCCTCCGCCGTTGCCAGAGAGGCACGCAGGAGGTGGCCGCTATGAACACCCCGAACACTATGCATTCCCATGCCAGCCAGCCGGAATTCATGGTTCTGGAAAGATAGAGAGAAAGATTTTAAACCGGCAGACAAGTGACTGAGTTTGTTGCAGCGCTTCTTCTCAGCACTTGCCAAATGTTTGTCTCGAAGCGCTGGTAGGGCAAAAAAATAATGAGACATGTATGTATGGGCTTCTTAAGAGCATTTGACGATTTGCAAGTACTACTTAATTTAATTAGTCTAAACAAATTAAGATAATTTTGATTTTGATTTGATTTTGAGATAAATAGAGACCCTTAAACCCACTTAATGCTACCGTCGTTTTAAAACAACACAACAATATTTGGAGAATAACTATATAAGTACCTACTTTAGCTTATTTTTATTTATGTTACTTGACAGGTGACGGTTTTATCGACTTACGCCCGTTTTCACCATCAATCCCTAATTTTTAAGTGACCCCTATGGTAATACATAACAGGCATTTTGTACTCATGGGGGTCACTTGAAAATTAGGGATTGATGGAAAAAACGGGCATTAATCTGTGTGGCAAATCTGAACAATTCTTAGGTTCTACTTATTTTTAACTATTCTGTGGTGCTACAAAGAACATGTTAATGTTTAGTTTTATTTATTTATTTATACTTTTGCACATAAAACTGTACAGTGGCGGACTTAATGTTGAACTTATTTATGTATTTTCCTGAAGCAAATACGAGTAAGTCCAGTCTTACTACTACTATACAGGGTGGCCAAAACAGTGAGGTCTAAAAGAAAAATTTAGATTCCTTACATCGAGGTGTACCTAAATCACCCCCATGTATGTAATACGATTGTGCATCGTTTAGGAGATAGAGTTAATTTTGTGATATTTTCAAATTTTGTGACCTAGTAGGCTTTAAACATTTTTATCTTTTTTTCGGGTTGACTTTTTTCAGATTTCTTTTTTTCGACAGATTTGTTATTAATTGCAGATGTTTGAAAAAAATAATCACCTTCCTATCTTTGATTCAAGATACAAAAGTTTTGCTAGAAACATTAAAATTATGCTTTTATCAGAACACTATCAAATTTTCAACTTACAAGTTTAAGTAAAAAAAGAACTGCCATAGGTCCAAAACCGTAAAGAGGTAGGAAGCCATAGTTCCTTAGTAGTTGAAGTTCCCTTCCACCTTCAGCCTAATCATCAGTTTCCGCCAGGTGTGATGAAGGGCAAGAGCTTCCTCGTTGAGAATAAAAACATGTTCTGTCCAGTTACTGCTCTAAATCTGTTCTACGTAATGTAAACTTAGAGGATTCCCAACATTAATTTACTCTAAGAAAGTCAAAAACATGTAACGGAATCTCCGACTTACCACTTTAGTGGACCGATTACAGGAAATAGTGGCCCATTAAGTACATGTTTTTTTGTATTATTATGAATGTTCAGGAATCGGCGCAGTTTTTAAAATGGTTTTGGACCTATGGAAGTTCTTTTTTTTACTTAAACTTGTAAGTTGAAAATTTGATAGTGATCTGATAAAAGCATAATTTTAATGTTTCTAGCAAAACTTTTGTATCTTGAATCAAAGATAGGAAGGTGATTATTTTTTTCAAACATCTGCAATTAATAAAAAATCTGTCGAAAAAAAGAAATCTGAAAAATGTCAACCCGAAAAAAAGATAAAAATGTTTAAAGCCTACTAGGTCAAAAAATTTGAAAATATCACAAAATTAATTCTATCTCCTAAACGATGCACAATCGTATTACATACATGGGGGTGATTTAGGTACACCTCGATGTAAGGAATCTAAATTTTTCTTTTAGACCTCACTGTTTTGGCCACCCTGTATGTATAACAGAACGGTGGTAGAGTTTCTTTCAACTGGAGTTTCAGGTATTGATCGATGCTATTTTCGTACAATAAGAACTCAAACTCAACTTGAAACAAAAATAACAACAATTAATACTATCGTAATTAAACTACTTCCAGCATTAAATACAAATTGCGATAAGGTGCGATTGCGGTCAAATACCTGCCTTGTCTAGCATAAAAAAAATGTACATAAATGTGACTATAAATAATTAATTTAATGTATTTTTTAGTTAAGTCATGATTATTTTAATTATTGTTTGTATTTAGTTCATTTAAATTAACGTTGTGTCGTAATTTTGCTACTTCCGCTATCAAATACGAATATTAATTGTATGTAAATCATTAATTATATTTTTATTAGTCAATATATAGTTTTTACCTATCCCATATTAACATACAAACACACATTGACGCTTCTATTATTTATACTATCAATAGGTACTTTCAAGTCGCCTTGTATCCTACACACCTACAAGTAAGGTATTGTATGCTTGCATTTCTAATTGCCAGTCACCAAACTTTAACGCTCTATATAAACAAATACAATCTAGCTAATTCATATGCAAACATTATAAGTTTAAACGCAAACAGCGTTTATGCCTCTTGAGACATTTGCTAATCAGTAACAATGTGATAATGATTTAAACAGATCTGACAAACGTCATATGATTGCCTTCTGCCTACGCCTGTAGTTGTTTGTAATCTAGTGGTCATGAGCCTCCCTTATCCCTGTGTACGCAAGTTTGATACGCAAGAGGAATACATTAAAGTCTTGTTCCCATGGAGAGATCCCGTTTTTTGCAGGAACTGTATTTACAGCATAATATGCTGAGTGGGGTCCCATTGCGATGGGCATCGCTGTGTGACAGGGTGGCACTGCTTAGTTTACTTGCTCTTTCATTGTAATGTTTTATGTCACCTCTGTCTTATTTGCTTTTTTTTTTACCTCTTATGTCTTTTGTGATGTCCATGTCAATATTTTTCTTACAGGATCCTGTTTAGTAATATACGTGTTTTAGTAGTATATGTGAAAAACCCCATTTGTATCCTGCAAAGCACCGATACGTCCGATTTGTATTTCGAATTTCCAACAACTTAAGAGATTTGTTGTTTGTGTGTTCACATGATAGTCCAGTTTTGCACGATGCTGTATTACTGGATCGTGAGGACAAGCCCTTAAATGTAAACTTTGTTTGTTTATTTCCAGTTTTATTAGTATAATTAAGTATGTCAGACGCGAGACACATTTATTTGGTGTCTCATTATGTTTGACACTTGGGTTTTGACCTCAATTCTAACCTCAGTTGTTACAAAAACATACACATTAATATAAATAACTAGCTGACCCGGCGAACTTTGTTCCGCCTTAATGGCAATAAATAACGGGATAAAAAGTATCCTATGTCCTTCTCCTGGCTCTAAACTACCTCCCTGACAATTTTCAGCTCAATCGGTTCAGCCGTTCTTGAGTTATAAGCGAAGTAACTAACACGACTTTCTTTTATATATATAAGATGTTACAGGAAATGTATGAATTCTAGGAATTGTATACTATTCCTAGGAAATGTATACAATTCCGAAGCTATTTAGGAAATGTATAAAATATTGCTTCAGAAATTTTTTAATACGCACCTAACCTAGGAAATGTATACTTTTCCTAGGAATTTTATAGAATTCCAATATTGTATTAGGAAATGTACAAAACTAAGCGGCACAAGCGCGGTCGCGTGATCGGGTGCCCCTCGGTAAGTACGCCAAAAATTTCATTTAGCCAAAGCACATTGGCCGATAGGTACTTTTAACTCACAATTATTATTCTTGTTTAGCCTGACAGTTGTTTTCGCACTATTATACTTTGGTCGAAAAAAATATTTGCCTAATTGGCATACCTTTCCCTCGGCATCACGCATATTACGCTGAAGTATTGGAAATCCCGAAATTTAACATCTCTTTTATTAAACTATTATTGGCATGAAGGTTTTAGTACTCCTGTAGCTGGATAACAAAGTCTCGGTTAGGTTAGGTTAGACTTGCGACCTTACACATACACAGCTGCCGCGGCGCGGCAGCGCCATCTAAGTTTCGGAAAACAAAAAGTGGCGTAATAAAAATAATTTTGTGTAAAAAAAATATCGTAATTACATTTCCGATTGCTGTTTAGGAAATGTGTAATTTTCCTAGGAAATGTGTCTAATATAATTTACATCACACATTTCCGGGTGATTTTAGGACTTATACACAATTCCTAGGAATTGTATACAATGACGGATTTCATATATTTCCTGTAACATATAGATAAATTAGTAGTTCAACTCTCTCAAATAAATCCCCAAGTTGAGAGAGTAGTTGTTTTTCAAGAAGTGGAAAACTTTATGTACTTAGTGGCTCTTTAGCAATAATTTCCTTTGTACCTATAATAAACACTACTTTCTGACCAAAAAAATGAAATGTTATTGCAGCCCTAAACCAAGATAATCTGTATAAGCCGTTTTAGATTAGTGCTAATCTTGTTTGTTGTCCTAAATAAATAACAATAAAATAATAAATAAATAAATTAATAATAAATCTTTGGACAATTTCACACAGCGCCAGCTAGCCCCAAAGTAAGCAACACAATGCTTGTGTTATGGGTGCTAGCTTAACGGATATACTACTTATTTACTTTTTTTTTATTAAATACATACATATTATACATATTTACACCCAGACCCGTCACAGAAAGCCAGAAATTAAAATTCATCATTTCAATTTCTGCCCGGCCGGGAATCGAACCCGGGACCTCTCGGCATAGTAGTCCGTTCTGAACCACTACACCAAACGGCCGACTATGAAATGAAAAGGAAACTGATCACTTTCAGCTCACGGTTTAGTATGTACTAAAACGTTATCAAAAGTTTAGTTAAAGAAATAATACGAGTAGCAACAGTACTTATTATTATTCTGTGGTACAACTGTCAGTAGGTGTAAAGGCGGTGAATACCCCTGACAAATTATAATTATAACTTCGGTCCAAATTAACTAACTAGCACGATCGAATCTTCGTGGAATTAGCCATAAATATAATAATTAGTCTAAAATAATTCTAACTCTACCCACGTATTTACAGCAAATTGTCTCTACTTCGAAGATCAGTAAGCACCTACAGGAAATCATAACAATACTAAGAAATGTACCTTACCTTATGCTAAATAGGTTAC